GGATTGCACTCGACAGATCAGCTGGGCTCCGTTCCACATCTTCAGGGAGTCTGCGGAAAAGGCCCTCCAACGCTAATAGAAAAGCTTGGGTCCTTCCGGAGTGAGTAGGTACCCCCTTGTGTCTCTGGAAGGCACCACCGCTGCGCAGCGCCCAACAATCACCCTCCTGAAAACGTAAAATATTTTTCACCTTCGATAATCCAAAGCATTAATGCACGCTCCCTCATGAACATATCCACGGAACGAAGACACAAGATAGCTAGGGCAGCTGCGCATAAGCGCACTAAATAATCAGGAAATGCTGGAAACTGTCTTTGCGCATCTGCACGGTGTTTCTTCACAAGATACAAAATAGTATCCGGATTTTGAAACGGCTGAGGTGCCTGTTTCTGAAATTCGGCGTTTGTCAACGATAAAGACTCAAACAGGTTGTGAAACTCCTCAGCAGATGTCATTGCCAGGCATAAGCCGCCTCCTGCGCAATTTTTGCCATGTGGCTTCAGTGATTTCTGACTCGCCTAGCGCAATATTTTCTCCAGTGAAATTTCAATACACAGAGGGGGGCGCCAAGCGCGGCGGCGCCAGTACGGTGTTGGCAAGGGCATGGGTGGTGGGGGTCCACCGCAGGCGAGAGATGTGTTGGAAGATCAGTATGAAGTTGGAGAAGTTGGCACTTGTCGGGGCTTAGGAGAAGCCCGCGTTTGCATGCCTCATGTTGGAGAGTGTGCAGGAGGCGATGCAACGTGAGTTGGGCGCGAGCAACGAGGACGTTATCGTCTGCATATGGTATATCTGAGAGGGGGGTGCGGGTGGAATGAACGTCGTGCATAAGTACAGATAGAACACGAATGAAGATACGGACAGCCTTGACGGATACCTCTGGAGATGGAGTAGGTCGAAGAAAAATGAGAGGAGTCTGTGAACTTGCCATTGGAGTATAGCGCAAAGATAGCGTGCACCAATGGGCATGGGAGACCCATGCGGACAAGGGGGGCAGTGAGATGGTCATGGCATCCAAAAACAAAACATAGAGCGAGGTACGTGTGCCTCTCATACAGTTCGACCATACAGCGAATGAAAAAAAGCGGGGCAGCGGCGGAACGTTTTTTACGAACGCCATATTGAAACTCACTGATTCGCGAATCGAAGTACTTCGCACGGCGGGCTTGCAAAAGAGCGTACAACTTGTAGATTGCGTTGGCAAGGCTGATGGGGCGGGGGCAGAAGCGGAGCGCCACACGCAGCTGCGTTAAGGTGAATGGAGAATAGGCATCATCTATTGTGGGAAAAAGAGGAAATACACTGGGGGAGGACAGTCGGTGGGCTTCCAGACGTTGTCTCGCAAGTGTTGCGCCGAGACTTCAGGTTTTGCAACTGCAGTGGAGCGGCGCCCAGACGGCCAGCAAACGGATTGCGTGCGTGGTTGGTATTTATTGCGGACTCGCCGAATGGTTTTCCAGCGCTGGGATGGAGAAGAGCGATGATCCGCCTCCAATTGCTGGAGAACCCAACGTTTTTTGTCCCGCTTCGCATGAGCCCGGATTTGGCGACGGAGTGCTGCTACATCCTCAGAGGAGAGATGCGCAGGAAGTTCGGCCTGGGTAGGTGGGGAGAAATATGGCTTCGAATGAAGGAGGGCTTACGAGAAAAACAAGCAGACACGGCTGTGGCCAGCGACTGGACGAGGTGGTCCGTTTTCTGGGGTATAGAAAGGCCCGAGAACCATGTGGAAAGCGGGTCAGGTGTGAGAGGGACGGGGGAAGGAGGGGAGGTAGAGTATCAGCGTGCAATCTGGAACTCTTTTTGTCATCAGCTCTGCGGCGCCGCGCTGACCAAGTTCCGCCGCTTGCTCTTTTGCGCCTGGAAGTATTGCGCCATACCAGAGGTCTCTTGGAGTCCACTGTTTCCAGGCAAGCGCAACTTCACTAGACATAGCCGCCGTTTTGCCGGCGAAGGAACGGTCATCAGCGAAGATCACCTGTTCAGTGTCCGGATAGGAAGTTCTAATAGCAAGCGCGCCAACTGTCTCCTTGAGTCAAGGATGCGCAAACTTGCGCTGGATGAGGAAATGTTTCTCCCATGAATTGCAGGTACCGTTGCTGATCAGTCCAAACATCGGAGAGCGGCGTCCAGACCCATGTGTTGCATGACACGCAGCGCCAGGAGGGGACGCGCGCGATCAAAGGCTTTTCTAAGTCCAGAGCGCCAATAAACGAATTTTAGCACGCTTTCAACAACAATGGGCCCAGGGCGCGCAAGACCTGTCTCAGGCAGGCCACCATAGACATCTTCAGGCAGCACAGATTGACTTCACGCGCAAGTATTTGAACCTTGCTCTAGCACAGATACGCCAAGTAATTGAGGCAACAGACACCGGTCGTAGGTCACCAGCAAATATACAACCATCCGGCAGGGGTGCTTTATCTTTGCTGTGCCTTGTTTGTTTCCAAGCGATCGGTGCCGGACCTACATTTTCACACTTGTTGTAGAAATTCTTCGGAGCGACATCCCTGTTTTCGACGACAGTTACACACTTTGGCAACATCCACCCCAGCTTTCAGCGACAATCAGTGTTAACGTCCCAGTAATAAACCATGCGTCAATAATAATCTGCTTTTTTGCCGGCCAGAATTGTGCACTACTACTTTTAATTGCGCCAACATCCTTTCCCCAAAATGGATTAAAAAAAACTATCATTTATCAATTGGAAACCACCCCGATAATAATCTGCATTTTTGCCTGCCAGAAATTTGTACTACTACTTGTAGTTGTGCCAGAAATTTGTAAGATTCTTTTAAGTTCTCCTATCTGCTTCTTCTTCTTCCTCTTCTTCTCTTCTTTTGTTGAAGCTCTTTTTTAATCTTTGCCCATTAGATTTCCAAAACAATGGCTAGCCACAAGCTTTTGGTTTCCTTATTCAAGCCCTATCAAACAAATACAAGAAATTATCTTCAAAGGGTGCCCGTTTAGACTCCCACCCCCTGCAGTTATAGACAAGCCTACAATAATCAACCCCCTTCCAGCCCTGCTGGCTTGTCCTTGCCTCGTGCTTTCCCTCTTACGTTTAAGTTCTCCTATCGCCTATCTTCTTCTTCTTTCTTCTTCTTTCATGTTCTTCTTTTGTTGAATCTTTTTTTTCATCTTTGCCCATCAGACTTCATCTTTGCCCATCAGATTGCCAAAAACATTGGCTAGCCAAAAGCTTTTGGTTTCCTTATGTGCCTTTGGGGGAAGAAATCACGCTGGCCTAAGTTCGGCGTGTTGCTTGGGAGCGCGGTGGTTGGCGGCACCCGCGACGCTTGACCTTACATTGGTTTATCTGGTCTGTCGCACACTGTGTGGCCAAATTCCGTCTGTCAGGTCGCTGTGCCATGCGGTTTTGCGCGGCTGCAGTGGAAAGTCGGTTTGTTCGGTGCCATTGGGGGAAGGAACACATGCTGGTGTAAATTCGGCGTGTCGCTGGGGAGCGGGATGTCCACGAGTCTCATCTTACTACATCCGTAGCAACAACTCTAGAAACATGCGAGCTGTATGTATACTTGTAGAATCTTGTAGCATACATGCAAATGCAGCTATAAAACTCTCAAATGTATGTATACACATCTCTTGCTACACACACCCTCTTCTACATAACCTTTCCTTCTGTGCTCGGGCCATCCGTCGTCTAGTTCAAAAGAAAACAAGAAAGAAGCAGATATATACGGTTGAATACACGGCTTGAAGAGGAGCATTGGGCAGCGCGACATCACCTCTCCACACTGCAATTACCTCAGTTGCATGTTCTTCAAGCACTCCATGCTGCACTTCCTCAAGCCAACATACCACCCGTGGATATGAGATGATATGAGTGTGCACAATGCAAAGTGAGGGGTGAGTGAGACTAGCTCCAAAGTGCATCTCGTGGTCATAGTCATATTTGCTTAACAGCTGCTGAAGGGTCTTGACTCTAGAATCATAACCTCGTCTGAATTGCACCACCAGAAAAAGGTAGGGACGGTGCAAACGAAAGAGTAGGTTGGTTCGAAGGGATGGGAGTCAAGAGGTGAGGCTCCAGGTCCATTCAGGATAAGCTAATACAATCAATGCCTTTGAAACATTCGAGATTCGACCTAGACCTGCTCTAGTGCAAGTAGGCCTTTGTATGTTATTGCGTGTCTTCTTTTGACGGCTTGACAGTTGAAGCTTTCTACTCTTCAGCAGGGTCGCCCTTGGTTGCTTTATTAAATGTATTGCAGAGTTCCCCCGCTTTAAAGGATGCACAATGATGTTGCACTGCACGTTTCAAGCATTGGATGCGCTAAACAACCAAATCCGTCGTGATTGTCTTCCATATGATTAATTGGAAGGCGCTGCCCTCCCCAGGTCCCAAACTGCAATTGATGACAGTGATGGGCTGCTTGCTCATCATGATCCCAAGATGGGAATGCCCATCCCCTTCTCAAGTGTATGACCGTATGCCCCCTTGAGCTCCAAGCAGTTTTGAAATGCCTCTACATATGAGCATGCACCTCCCAAGCAATAGTCTCTGCACAGCAAACGGCCACTCTTCAGGGTTGGTGTTCTAATTACATGGAATGGCTCCTTCTCTGCAATTGAAGTTGTGCGAGCTGCTGGAAGAACGATGTTCAGGATAGTAGCAGGTATCCAGCCAACAGCAGCCACGCATGCACGGAAGCCAACAATGCCACTACATCTCACCTGCAAATACTTCCAGGTCTCAAGGATGAGGTCTTGCAAAACGCCATGACTTTCAAAAAATCCAATCTCCAGTCATTGCCAATCCCAGCTGGGTGAGGTGCGGAAGCTGCTGGTGCTGCGTCCATATGCACCTGAAGAGGATGTGTTTTGATCCTGAAGGTTGGGCAAGAAACCTCCACCTGGAACTGACGGAAGGCTTCCGCAATGCAACTTCTTGAGCCAAAAAAGGCGTGTGAACAAGAGCGCTGTGACCACAATGAACACACTGCAGGCGCTGCACCGACAAACTAACTCGACAGCGCCTGGCCGAAAGGCGCTGACACCTCGATGTGGTCGCCCACAACCCCCAAAGGCCCATCATCGTGACCTGCCGAACGATTTGTGCTTTTAAATGTGGCGAAGTGTAATGGGATGGGATTTATGATGTGCCGACTTGCAACTACTGAGTGCGGGGATGTGCTGTGTATTGATTTGTGGGCTGGACTCTCTTCTTGTGTGGAGGCTTTGTAGACATTTCTCTAGAGTCTCTGCTCTTCTAGGTGCTTTTGTACGACGACAATCTATCTCTACTTTTTTTTCTCTCTCGAAATCTCTACCTTTCAAGACTGTTTTCTAGACATCACGCCTTTCTATACTTTTTCAAGAATGTCTGCACTTGTTCAAAAAACGCTGCTTTCCATATATGTCTCCATCATGCACCGAAAAAAGGGTTGCCCCTATAGAAAAAGAAAATGTAAAGGTTCCTTGGAAGAAGTTCAGCAGAAGAGATGCCTTCATGAGGGTATGGAAAAGTAGGGGCCCCTAGTAGAGGCTTCCAGTAAATAGTAAAGGTAAGTCGATTTCCCATGCAAAGGTTTATACATTTCTATAACTCTAACAGTCTCTACCTGTCTATACCCCGTGAGAAAGCTCTACTTGTCCGCCTTGTCAAACTTCACATTGCTATGGAACCTGTGCTGTTCTACCCGTCTCTTTGAAACTATATATTCATGTTTCTCCTCTAAATTCTGTTTGAGAACATGTTACATTTCCTTGCCAATGTCGACTTTCTACACTTCGATCGAAATCTACTTTCCATAACTTTTGTTCATGAACGTATATTTGTCTACTATACTTTCTTCAGCTTTGCTTTTTTGTCAAGCCAAATTAACAGCAAAGTAAAATCCCCGACACCTATATAAACCCACCATCCCACCCGGCCGCCACTATCGAGCACATCTACAACTTCGATTCGCCACCATGACGTCCATTCCCTGATGGAAATATGTCATGTGTTTTACCGGAATTCCCTGTCTGCCACTCTTGAGTTACCCAATTTTTTGGTAGTTCGGAACATTCTTGACCAAACGTCCCTTGTATGTTTGCCTTTGGTCTTGAGTTTGACTAGTCCTTACCAACATCAAGAACAAAAACAAGAACGTTTTGTGAGTTTTAACCCACTGTATTTTCCTTTGTTGAGTTGCCTTTTTCTCGTCGCTCCGCCAAGGCAACCGCGCAAGTCAGAAACCTCAGTTGGAGGCTGTTGTCGGCACCATCCACCTCCAACAAAAGCACCCTTGGGACCGCGCATGCAGGAATTGCTATGTTTCGCGCTGTATTGGCCTAAGGAATCGTTGAAGAGGTGCTGTCGGAGACGATATGCATCACATGCAGTGCGCTAACCAAACACACGCTGCGCTTCTTAGGTTCTTGATCCACGATGCCCCAAAACAGAGCGCATGGTGGAATTGCACATCCTCACAAATGCACTAACAAACGGCCACACCACGTGAACTCAGAGTTCGCGCCACTATTGCACATGTAGCCAAATATGATTTTAAGAAGAGCCGAAAGCACACGCGATCAAGCGGAGGTCGTCTACAGAGAGGCACACACTGGGAAAGGGGGTTGAGTACGGAATCGGTGTAGCTAAGTCCATGGGCGAAAATATACCGGGGAAAGGCGACATCGTGTGTGAGGCTGAAGACTGCAAGGACAATGGAATATTGGAGCCAGAGCTTGAATACACGTGTCGTTGGACTGCCACTGTTGCAAGTCAGGCAGCCCCCTGCTTGCAACGGTGACCAAAGCATTCCACCTGCACTATCCGCTTGTGATAGCGGCTTGCACGCACACTGCCCTCCCTCTCCATGGAGGGCTCAGTCGCTTTCATTATCAGTGGCTGCGCCAATTTTGGCCACACCCTGAGCCATTCAAGTCGATTTCTGACTTTGGTGGTGGCAGCCTTGATAGTTTTCCCTGTATCACCATTTACCCAAGGAGGCTGTTTCTTCCAACCAGCCCACAGAACCTGAGTTTATCCTGCATCAACAACGCAGGTACAGTTTTGCTTGGAGATCACAGCGCAACCGTGTGAGACCGGGCGCAGCGCTGAGGAAGCAGCCACTGAAGACTGACCGATAGTTTGAGTTCAAACGTCGATATCGCCACGTGAATGTTGCAAAGACTTGGTGTCAGAATTGATTGCAAGTTTTTCCAAATGTTAACGCACGCAGTCAGTTGCTTGCGCACAAGCAAGATTACACCACCTTTTATGTGTCACGCGTGTCTTTTTTAGCCTGTCAGAAACTGGCGTTTGCGAGAACGAGTTCGCGCTCGCTGTTGCCGGGCGTAACTACTCGGCTGGGTTTCCTCTGACCGCGTGTTCGTGTGGATGCCACCGTATTGGGCCCATACGATGGAGCCACTGCGTCGATGAAGGGATCCGTCGCGCCGTTGCGCGAGGTCATGGATGGAAGGCGGCATATTGAGGCTGGTTGCGCCATTCATCTGGCGACCTTGAAGAAAAGATCTGCACATTCAAAATGGTTGTCAAGCAATCGGTCAGAATGTACAAGCAGTGCTCGGCATGTCTCTAATTGCACAAGAACCGCCACATGTTGGGATGGAAGGGCTTGTATGCTTGAAAATGGCATCTATCGTTGTCGACATCAGTGGAGTCTAAAATCAGAGCCCTGAAAGCATGCTACGTTCATAAAATGATCGAGGCAAAATCAAAAAGAAACGTCAACTAAGACACAGCTCCTATGAGTGTGAACGCGGCATAAAAGCACATGTCAATGTACACACAACGCCCTGCTCACACAACGGCATGCACTCCAGGAGGAAACGCGGAGTCAAAGATTGTTGAAAGGCAATCAGAATCTGATGATGACGCGAAAGACCAGGATCGCATACAGTGCATAACGTGATCAATTTGGTCTGGGCCAGTGATCACGCGCGCGCAAAAAGACCAGAAAAAGGAACAGGACCGGGCCCGATACTGCGCAAAGCGCGACATTGTTAGTTACTTCGATAGCTGGAATACGGTGATGGATTGCTGAAACGCGTCAACGTCAAAACCCAAGGCATCATGCCCTTCGGCCACGAACGTCTTCCACAATGGAAACAATGTCAGCAAAACCGTGAGGAATCGATCTTGGCCAGCTCCAACAAAGCGGTCGCCAAAGCGGTTCCCATTTTCTGGAGTTCCGCGTGGGAGGAAGTGCGCTAGAGTAAGTTGGTTGCGTTCGGCAATCGCCCGTGGATACTTCTTACTGACCCACCCAGAAGAACGCCGAAGAGTGGATTGCAACGGAGGCTGGCTGCGCGCCTGACCGAATGAAAGACGCCGCAAGAAAGTAAGATACTGTCCAGGTAGTGATCAGCTGGAGAACTTGCAACGGTGCAAGTTTGTGACGGGCCGGGTGAATGTGGTCTGTTGCTGCTTCACGAGCAGCTACGCTGCGTGAGACGTGGGCGTTGCTCACCGTGGTCCGGAAGCTGGTGACAGGCGCTCCGCAGTATCAGCAGGTGTCCAATAAGGATTTTGTGAGAAATTCAGCAAAACTTGCGTAATCGCGCAAAGTTTGGCGCGCGAAGTTGGGGCGGGAAGGACGCCTGATGGTGTAGCGTGAACTCCACCAGCCATTTGCCAAATAAGATTGGCAGGCGGGGCCTCGCCCCGCAACGCAAGAATCCACATCAGTTGGCTGAGCCTACAGGTCCGGATTGGTTCCGGAAGCTTCGTCATCGTCGCGCGCCAAAGCAAGAACGCAAAGTTGACAACTTTGTGCGAAGGGACCTTCGCGCGTGAAAATTTGTCATTGCGTCAGCAAAGGCGGTGATATGCAATTTGCGTAGCATACAGAGCGTGTCAACAGGGGATTGATTGATGGCCAGTTGAAACAAGGTCGGAATGCATTCTGGGAAGCTGTTTCTGCAACAAATAGTTAATGAGGTGAGACTGGCTGTAACATCGAAAAAGGATTGTTGGGAATGCAAAAGTTTGATTGAGAGCAGGCTCAATATAGCCAAGACCCTCTGCAGACTTGTTCGCGATGAAAAGCATTGTACTACATAGCACGGATGTAGTGTTGAGAAGAAAGATGATGAGCCCACAGATAAGCGACTGTGGCTGCGCGAAACCATTGTTGATCAAGACGAAACGGAAGATTGAGAAGTTTGAAGAATGTGGAGCCATCGTCGTTTTGCACGCAGACATGGGATAACGTTACATGCGTCAGAAACCCTTGCCCGCGAAGCCACAAGAGACCAATTGTAAATCAACTGCAGCGCTCCACACCATCTTGTTCGTCTTGAATAGTAGCACGACCTCTCCAAGACTGTTCATCCTTGTTTCAAGCCTTGGGTTGTGCCCCTTCCAGCTTTTCCTTCTGTGACGAATTTAAGGCATTGGTGAATCTTCAGCGGCTTCATGTCCAGACACTTGTGAACCTGTCGGCATCGAAACGACCGATTCGCCTTGAGATTCAGCGCTTGCATTCATCTGCGAGTCAGGTGTACACTGTAAACGAATATATAAGCTGCTCCACTCATTGTTTCCGAGCTTGGCGTCGGTGTAGGTTAGCCATCGAGGATCTATGATAAGAACTTGTATATACACTACACTAGAACATGTTTTCTGCTTTAGCTGCTGCGCTACTCGCAGTTGTCGTCGATTCATGTTCGTTTTGGAGTGGGTTTCTAGCGGCTTCTAGCGGCTCTGCATGGAACAAGGCAACAGGCATGGCCTTTCATAAAGCACCGGGCTCCAGGCCCAAATCGATCACTTCCACCTTATTAAGTCAAAATCTACGCAGGCGAGATGTGAAGTCACGGAACATTGCATCCAAGCTTCATCCACGCCATGGTGTTTCTTGGCAAGGTCAAGGTACCTTACAACCAAGCATTGAAAGCTTCTTATATACATGGGCATCTTGACTGAGACAAGTGCACAGCCAAAGGGCCTTTTGATGGCCTTCCCGCGTCAATCAAGCAATCATCATTGGCCAAGCATGCACGCGTGATGATTGGCCCACTGAGCCCAAACAAGGATGAAAGCTCGTCTATGGCGATTCGGCACTTTTCTCGAAACGGACAGTCAGGATCTCTAAGAGCTCTACTTAGAGACTTAGAGCTCCAACAGCGCCGAGTTTAGAGTCACTAAGATTCGATGCGACAAACCCTGAACAAAAGTTGCACATGTATCTCCCGGACGCATTGCAGAAGGTGAGCAATTTGGATCCTCTGACACAGCTTTTGAATACACATCCAGTGGAGTTTGTGCAGGTGTGGCTTCATTATCTCCAGTGGAGTTTTGCAACAAGTAGTTTAATTGAATGTAAACCTTGCAGGCGCATGGTCAATTCTTGAAGTGGAGTTGTTGCATGCCAGCTGGCAGAAAGCCACCTGCAGAAAAATTACTTGAAGTTGCCTTGAAGTGGGCTTCGTTTTGCGCAGGCGAAGCATGGCGCTTTGCCAGCGCTGTAGATCTCACAAGCCCACACTCATGAAAAAAGTCCAGACGAGCACAGTGTTTCAAGAGTACCTCTACGAACACACTGGCTAGCGCGCAAATCAGGAGAACGATTTACTGGCACGAGAAGGACAAGAGTGCGGTTCTTTATGGTGGGAGGGACTTGAAGACCACACCTGGCAAGCATGCATTTGAAAAAGAAGTAAATTGCGCAAGAGAGATAGGCACTGCAGCAGCACAGACCTGAAGCCTTGTGAGCAACAGACTGGACAGCGCTTTTTGAGAGCGAGTTTGAAAGCTACATTACACACAATTATACGATAGATCCTGAACCCTAGACCTTGATGCGTAAGAACAAAGGCAACATGATCTGCTTCGCTTTGCTTTGTGGAGGTTTCTTCTGAAACCTGTTGCTTTCACGCTTGCAAACTGGACAGCTCACGCGCAGCTACATGTAGCTACTCTGCTGGTCTAAAGGAGGACTGCAGGAAGCAACATGAAGGACCCCACCTTGTTTGCCTGGCTATGGACAGCCACAACATCTTCACAACCTCACCGAGCGAAGTGGAAAGAACAAGGAACCCCAGTGTTTCTAGGCAACTGCATGCCACTGTATAAGGTCAAGGCCTGTTCAGCAACTCCGGCTGAACTGGACAATTCTCGAATCACATCCTGCACCTGACATCTCCAAGCCCAGCAATGTCCCCGAGCACGCATGACCAAACAGCGACTGAAAGCACCAAGAACCTTTAGCTATGGGGGGCCATGATTGCTCGAAAACAAAGCCCGTATCTGGGGCAGAATTGGTTCTAACATCGGTCTGACGCATTTAATCAAGTGCAACATAGTGCCAAATGCATTTCGTGCATGCTGCAGGTTGTGGCAGCTGTAATTGATCCACAATTGTAGCTCCCATTCATGAAAGTAGGCCCACAGATTGCGCCATAAAGGTTTGTCGAACATCAACCCAGCGTGGGCAGTTTTCGCAAAGCGACCACAACCTTTTCGGGAGCAGTTCCTGTGCCCAAGCGTTATCGTTCACGCACGGCCTGCTGCGCGCTCTGCATGGCTCCGACTGCGTGCCACTCCTGCAAAATGGCTGATGGACTGGCTCGACAAAGGAAAAGAGTCTAAACGCCACAAGCAGCACACTAAACAGTCACCATTCTCTTGCGCACACATGCTAGAAAAGAGTATTGCGCGCGCCTGTGATCCTACGCAGCAGTGTGTGTGTAGCCCTTGGAGTCACAGGGATCCTGTTGGATTGTGTTCGTTTCTTGTTTTTTAGTAGGGGAGTGCGGCATGATTGTGGGACCGCACTCAACGAAGCTACCTCAGTCATGGGATACCGAGTCTGATCAACTCGGCAAACCTGCAGCTTTACCAGAGCAACTTCCTCATGGACCCTGCTTGTAACTAGAACAAGAATTCCAGCCATTGCACCTGTTTGCATCGGCAGTCACGCACTTGATCTTGACTTTGAGCTTGCAGTTTGAACTTAGCGGTGGGGGCAGTCATTTGATGTTTTGTTTACCTGGACCCTTTGGGCTGGCGTGTGGCAAACCGCAACCAAATCAGTATGCATTTCTATAAGTGTGTCTCTCCTCGTGAGAGCTCAGGGTGAGCCCGAAGAGTGCCCCCTGTGGACCCTTCGAACGGGGGTTTGTCGAACGTATCCCCTGCCCGGATACACGTAGGAGGCTTATGCCAAAGTTTTTTGCCAAGACTTGATGGGTTTAAAGGCTTACGCCTAGCAGCCGGGCGCCGGCCATTGTTGAGCCTATGCAGGGTGGTGCCTATGTTGAGCCTACGTTGGCCTACGTTAGGCCTATGTTGGCCTATGTTGGCCTAGGTTGGGCCTATGTCGGGCCTACGTTGGCGTATGTTGGCCCCGTGTTGGCCTATGTTGGCCCTATGTTGAGCCATCTTGGAGGCTATGTTGGGCATATGTTGGGGATATGTTGGCTATCTTGGGCCTATGTTGAGGATACGTTGCGCAATTTAAGTCGTCTGGGGGGGCCTCTACCCACAAAATGTCGATTACGCCTGTCCGCCCGGCGCGCATAACCGACACCACCCTTGAAAAACACAGCATTTTTGCATTTCTCCCTCTGCACCGCGTCGCACTTTGATATGCGCAATAAACCCTGTAAAACACAGTGTTTCTTATACCTCACACACACACACACGAAACACTGTAAATTACAGGGGCTTCAGTGACTCGGAGGTGGGGAGGAAGTGGGAAGGGGTTCCGCCCGTTTTGGTGACGAGGGTCGGCGGCAGGGGGCGCGACCGTATATAACCTTCAGTTACCACCGAAGGCCCTCCGGGCAGGGCACGGGCGCGTGGCCGGCGCCCGGATTATTGAATTCTGAGTACGGACAAGCCATAAGGGACCAAAGCAGTCAGCAGGGGCACGCCGGCGCCACCACGTGGTCGCCGCGACCAAAGCTTGTTCAAGGCTCAATCAAATCTGTCGGGACCTTAACCCCCTTCCTCCCCCTACCCTCCCTCTCTTTCTTTGCCTTTTGGGGTGTTCCTGAATGTAATACTCAGGTTCACCCCTCTCCCTGGTGTGTCCCTGGAGAATTGCTCGTAGCTGGGAACACCTGTCCACTTCCTTTTCTTCTCTCTCTCTCTCTCTCTCTCTCTCTCTCTCTTTTTCTCTTTCCGCTCCTTCCCCTTCCTTCTTGCTTGGGTGCCCCTGGATGCTTTCGTCATAGCTGGGAACCCTTTTTCCTTTCTTGGTGTGTCCTTGGACGCTTGCGTCGTAGCTGGGAACACCGTCTTTCCTTTTTGTTTTTCCTCTCCTTCTTCTCTCTCTTCTCTCCCTACCCCTCCCTTCCTCGTACACAGTGCGCTTACATTCAAACGAGGTCCTCGCAACAGGTTTTCAATGAGGTTTGGCTTTCATCGGTTTCTGTCCCCGTCATTTGGTTCCCCTTTTTTCATTGCGTTCCCCTTCACACACCTTTCTCTCCTCTTTTCTTTCACGTCTCCCTGTCTTCATGTCCGGGCATTTCATTCTTTCTTTTGCGCACACAGTGGTCCGGCCCTTAGCGCGCACGCGCACAACTACATTTACATTTAACCTAGGACCTAAGTTTCAAGTCGCCCAGGTCTGAAAATGAGGTGGGTTTCATTGTTTGTCCCTGTGCACCTGGCTCCTCTTCATTGCAACCACGTACACCTTTGTCCTGTCTTGTCCTCTTTTCATGTCTTCATCCTTTTGTCCGCGTTGCGCGCACACGCGCGCACATTCGCCTTAACCGTAGTATTTCGCCTCTCGTCGGAGAGGCGTGTGTGTGTGTGTAACCCTTGGAATCAAGGGAACCTTTTGGTTTGGAACAGGGGGCGTGACGGTCGATTTCCCAGTCACGCCAATGAAGCTATGGAAATCGACTGGATGGAAGTTTGGACGCAAACTTCCGTAGCTGTTCCGCTATTTAGGAAAACAGGAGGAAATGGTACTCGACACACTTGCGTGTCGGTGCCTTTCCTTCTGTTTCCTCTAGGCTACTCTACAGGTTTGCAGGTAGGCCTCCAAACTTTGTTAAGGGGTTCTTTCACCTGAACTTTGGCCTCCACCCACTAGATTGGCCCCCAACTTGCTGTCTTGCGCTTCTTGTGCTTTTGCGCTTCTTGTAACCTTGTAGCACTGGCCTCCAACTTGGTACCCTGGCCTCCACCCACTAGCAAGGACCTCCAACTTT